TTCAGATTTGTCAACAGTGCCACTGGGGTTTGCTGAGGTTGACCTAAAGCCCCCTCAGCCCCTGGGCTACATTGCTTGCCAAAGATGACTTTGTGGTCCTGCAGTCCAACACTATGGCAGGCTTTCCTTTACAGTTGGAGAAACTGAGGCAGAGATGTGTTATGGACAGAACTGGTTTGGGATTTACTGCTGTGATTGTGGAGACAACTGTTTTTCTTTTTCTTTTTTTTTTTAAACCTTATTGGGGAACAGTGAGTTTTTCCAGGACCCATCAGCTCCAAGTCAAGTAGCTGTTTCAATCTAGTTGTGGAGGGCTCAGCTCCAAGTCCAGTCGCTGTTTTCAGTCTATTTGTGGTGATGGTGGGGGGAGGCCACAGCCCACCATCCCATGCAGGAATCGAACCGGCAACCTTGTTGTTAAGAGCACGTGCTCTAACCAACTGAGCCAACCAGCCGCCCCCACAACTGTTTTCTTAAGTAGAGAAAAGGAGAGCCTGGAACTTTCTATTGATTGTACCTTTGCACAGCCTCCCTAGGACCTCCTTCTCAGAGCCTTTTAATAGCTCCCCATTGTCTTTAATGCAAGCCTGGCTCCTTACTTTGGCCCACCAAGCCTCCAGGGCAGACCCTTGCCTATCTCTAGATTCATCTCCCTCCACAGCCCAGAAGGTGAAGATCACATATGGTTCTAATTACCTCTGAACCGCTCTTAAATTTTCCATAAAGTACAGTATGCATAGCTTTGTGTATACAACTTTGCACAGTAATTTGTATGTAGATGTGCAAAATATATACAGCTATGTACAGTGGATCATAAAGAGGACATCAACAAAGGATAAGCATATAATTTACAGTATTTTTAATCAGGTTAAAGAGAAACACACACATTGACCCAGAAGTGAGGCTGGCAGAAGTAACAGCAGATTTCTGTCTTCTTCCATCTGGTGCCCTCTCTGGGGCATAAAACCCTTGGCCCTGGGAGGAGAATGGAGGTTGCTTACCCTCCTTAAACTCTTTTTTATTGGATTTTTCTTTCAACACTGACATAATTGACTTCACCCAGGTTCCCTGTGCCCTGTGAGATGCCTTTCCTTTGTGGTCTTAAGTGTTTTTTCCCTTCCCACTTGCTCCCATCCTCACAGTGATGATTCTTCCCAGATACCCTTCTAGTTCTAACTCACACTCCAAGCTCGTCTGAAGCACAGGGCCCTCCAGGAGCCCTCTTTCAACACACTTGGGAAGCTCCATGTTCCCCTGCCCGGGAGTGCAGGGCAGGAAGTCCCGCCCAGACCTGCTTGAGTTTGAAGCCCGTGCTCAGTTCCCATAGTTGCGGATGAGTTGCTCTCTTCTCACTTGAAATTGTATGTTGAAATGATTCTATTCTGGGTCTGATGTCCCATCAGACTGTAAACTCCTTCAGAAGTCACCTATTTTAAATCTTTAAGCACCCACACAACTCCCAACACCCATACATACATACACACATACACCCGCTTCTATATGTTAGATATGTATGGTGTATGCTCAACAAATACTTGGCCCAGCATTGAAGGGAACTAGGGCCCATATGTGACCCAAGTTCAATGTGAAATCAGTGAGACATCTCCTTTGACCCCTCCCAGGCAATGGGGAACTCTGCTTCCCCTGAACTCTAATAGCATATATTGTCACAGAAAGTTGAAAGGGGGATTTCCCTTCTTGTCAGATGAGAAGGCTAAAAGGGAAATGTTCAGAGTGGCCAGAATGGGAACCAGATCCCATGGTCTGCTGGTTTGCACTGGCCCTCTGTCCACTCTACCTCATTACCTCTTCAGAGAGGCCTTCCTTGGTGGCCCCATCCTTCCTTCTCCTCTGTTGTTTCCTTTCAAAGCACTCAGTCCATATGTAATTATCCATGTGTTTATCTCTGTGGGTGTCCAAAGCCTGCTTTTCCCACTAACTGTAAGCTCCAGGAGGCCAGCCAAGGTCTATATTTGTTTCATCCTGAGTCTCCAGTACCCTGCACAAGCCAGGCCCACAGAGTTCCCAATAAATACATGTGAAAAGAATGAGTATTCACGTGGCCTGAGAACCTCCTTACATTTCCCTAGGGCAGCACTGAGGTTGGCCCCAAAACTGCAAAATTGACAGGCCTAGCGTGCTTGTTGCCAGGAGCTCCTAGGCAAACAACCTGTCTTGAGGAGCTTAAGATCCAGGAGGAAGATAAGACATCTAGGGAATAACCCTAACTCAAGGAAGGTGGTTAGCGAGGAATGATAGTCAGATTGGGTATTGGCATTGAGCAGTTGTGTGGAGGATAGATTGGAGGTTTGAGACCTGAGGCAGGGAACCAATTAGATGGTGATTGCAAAAACTGAAAACCACCTAAGTGTCTATGGCAGGAGAATGGTGACATAAATTACAGTAGGTCCAAATCATGGAATATTATGTGGGTGTTAAAAAGAGTGAGGTAGATTTTGGAAAGATGTCCAAGATATATTGTCAGGTAAAAAGAACAAGTTGCAAACAGAAATAGACTCAGATACAGAGAACAAACTGATGGTTGCTAGAGGGGAAGGGGTTTGGGGATGGGTGAGAAAAGTGAAGGGATTAGGAAGTACAATTTGTAGTGACAAAATAGTCATGGGGATGTGAAATATAGTATGGAGAATATAGTCAATAATATTGTAAAAACTATGTAGAGTGTCAGATGGGTACTAGATTTATCAGGGGGATCACTTCATAGATTATATAAATGCCTAACCATTGCGCTGTACACCTGAAACTAATATAAAATAATATTGAATGTCAACTATAATTAAAAAAATACATAGTCATGGCATGTACAGTACAGTATAGGGAATATAGTCAATGGTATTATCATAGCTGTGTACAGTGTCAGAGGGGTAGTAGACTTGGTGGGGTTATCACTTTGAGGTGTGTAAATGTCTAATCACTATGTTGTTTTGTGTACCTGAAACTAATAATAAAATAAATAAATTTTAAAAAGTGAAAGTTGTCCGAACTGTTAGATTTATTCCACATCTTGAATATGCCATAATGTGTCTTACTACTTGGCCTATACACATGAAAAAAGAGGAGATGTAGAAGAAAACCTTATATTGGTAAAGGAAATACAATTCAGAACATTTTCCATGCCTGTGATGTCATTTGATACTCAGCTCTGTGAATTTGCCAGAATGGTCAAAGTGGCTCCATTTTACAGAAAAATAAGCAGAGACTCAGAAATATTAAATAGCTTGCTTGTCCAGGATCACATAACTAGAAGGAGCAAAAACTATGGCAGAAGTCAGTCTTTTTTTATATATATATAGTTTCTGGTATACAAAAGAACATAATGATTAGACATTTACATCCCTCACAAAGTGATAGCCCCAAGTCTACTACCCCTCTGACATTGTACATAGCTATTACAATACCATTGGCTATATTCCTATACTGTACTTTACATCCCGTGACTATATATATAGATTTATATATCTATATATACATATAGATATAATTATAGTTGACATTCAATATTATTTTATATTAGTTTCAGGTGTACAGAAGTCAGTTTTGTATTTTTTTGTTTTTTTTTTAGCTGAGCCATCCTGCCACTGGTTGGCAGCTCAGCGGCAGCTCAGCTCGGGCCGGGCATCGAACCGCTGTTCTTCAGAGCTCGCACTCTTGAGCGAGCTCTTAACCAACTGAGCCACTCGGCCAGCCCCAGAAGACAGTCTTTTTAATGTTAAAATTTTTATTCAGCAGTGTATGCTTATTGTCTTAATTTGATGTAAACATTTCTTTTTTTTTTTTTTAATTGGGGAATTGGGGGATGGGAACAGCGCTGGGGAACTGGGGAAGGGGAACAGACAAGTTGCTGTCGTTTTGTTCTTTAGTCTAGTTGTGCAGGACATTGCTTCACTGGCCCAAGTTGGCATCATCATTGTGCTCTTCCCTGCGAGGCAGATCAGTTGCCCGCTTCTGGACGGCCGCTCACAGCAGCTGCTGGCTGCTCATGCTGGCTGCTGGCTACACACAGTAGCCCATGGCAACCCACTGCCACAGGGGCTGCAGCCTACGCTGTCGACTCATGGCAGCCCAGCTCCAAGTTGAGCTGTTATTCAGCATCTTAGCTGTAGAGGGCAGTGTCACTGGCCCTCATATGTGGGATCCGAACCGGGGTCCTTTGGTGTCCCAAGCCAACTCTTAATCAATGCGCCACTCGGCCGGCCCTGATGTAAACATTTAAGTTTTTATTTTCCAATAAAATAAATTATTCTGGGGGAAAAAAACCAAGTTGCAGTATAATTTGTATACTATAATCTTATTCTAAAGCTAATACAGGAGACATTCCCCTGCAGACACTTAAATGTGCAGAGAAAACAACTAGGATACTAGAAAAACTGTTCCCAGAGGTTATCTCAGAGAGGTAGAGGGGAGGGGAGCTTTCACTTTTTCATTTTACACCTTCTTTTCTGCTGGGTTTTTGCCATGAGCTCATATCACTTTCACAAGAGTTTTTGTTCTTTGCTATTGCAGGACAGGGGGGATGGGTAAAGAGGTGTGGGTGGGGCTGGAGCAGTGAAGACCCAATGAGAAGTACTGCAGAGCGAGGGAGACTGACAGGACCTGGAAAGATGGACAAAGGGTCTGAGGAGGCTCTGTGGTTCCAGATAGGGAAAAGTGAGGATTACTGGCGCCAAGTGGAGATGGAATGTGGGGAGCACAGTTCAGTGTAGGGGGAGGCTCATTCAAGGGGATTGACCTCCATAGTGCCAGTGGCCCTGGGGAGGGGACAAGAGGCCCAAGACCAGTGACACTGACTTTTGGAAACAAGGGCAAAGAAAGGGAGAAGGTGGATCTTTAGGACCCTACGGATTCCTTGGCTGTTTCACCATCCTTTGGGTACAGACCGTTCTGGCTGCAGCACGGAAACAAACAGCTAGGAGGGGCCAAAGCCAAAGCCAGAGCTGGAGGAGGAGGTCTGCCTTCCACAGACTGAGGTGGTGCACCCGCACCCGCCTGGGTCTCAGCCCTCCTCCTGCTCACTCTTCTGGGCTGATATCCAGGACTGGGGTGAAAGGCCAGGGTTTCTGGCCCCTTCCGGAGGTGAAGCCCCTTTTCAGGACCAGGAGCAAAGGAAGCCAGAACAATGCTATTCATGGAAAGATTGGGGAGAGGGAAAGAAGTTTCTTGGCGCAGATAAGGCTGGAGAAGGTCAAAGATGAGGAATGTTCTGTGATTTCTAAGACAGCCACTCATTTATTTCAGAAACACTTGCTCTAAGCCTGAGTCCGGTGGTAAGACTGCCCCCATGCAAGCTGGATAAGGACCCTTTTCCCAGGGACTGTACTTGGAGTCTCATCTCCAGGTCTCTCCACAGAAGTCCCTATGAAAAGGAGGGAAACATCGCCATGTGCCATGGGGCACTTCCACAGGTGTCTATTTAGTCTGCACTACAACCTTTTAAAGGAGGTGTTCTTCTACAAAGCAGGAAACTGAGGCTGGGGAGGATGGTGCAATGCCCACGACCACATGGTTAGGAAGTGTTAAAACTGGGACTCGAACCTGGGTGTGCCTGTGTCCCACTTATAATTTTGTTGCTTGGAGCTCAGAACACATTTTCCCATCAAAATAATGCTGTAAGTGACGGTTTGGTTGCTATAATGGCCTAGCTCACCCAGGGTATAGCTGGAATTAATTCTGTGTTTCACTGTGGTTGTGGATGAATCAGGCTTCTGCGGGCTAGCCTGGAAACCCACAGGAGAGGGGAAATGCATTTGAGGGTGTACCCAGCTGGGAACTCCTGTCCTTCCTATTGAGCTTGATTTGGGCCAAGCAGAGAATATGGTGGCACGGGGAGCACTTGTCCATTTCCAAAGCTCTTCCAGCGAGCCCTGCTGTTCACAGGAGTGGGGCAGAGCGTTGGCAGGTTTGTGGTTCATAAGGCAGGGAGTGTTGCATGAGAATGTGTGCTCATTTCCACACTCTCCACATCTTAGTCCTTTCTCTTTCTTCCTTACACTGCCCCTCAACTCTGTGCAGTCATCTTACATCTTCTTCCTCTCGATGGAATCTCTCAATGTAAGAATTAACATTCATTTTCACCACTATATCTGGTGTCTGTGTATGAAGTGGCTGGGTGATAATGACTGTACAGGGATACTAGTGATGGAGACCAAAGCAGCTGCTGAGAGAAGCGTTAGATTGACTTCAGGGAGAGCATTCACTCGTTCATTCGCTTGCTCACTCATTTACTCAACAAACATTTGTTGTGGGTGTGTTCCTTCCTTTCACTGCACTTCCAATGCCCAGAGGAGCCTGGGTAGGACTGACTGTGGATCTCAGATCTTAGCATTGGAAGGAATCTTTTTACAGATGGAAACTGTAGTCATTCGTTAATTCAGGAAGGTCTGAGTGTCAGGCTAAACACTGAGAATACATAAAACACAAAGCTTGAGGTCCAGAGAGAGGTAAGTGATTTGCCCCGTATCTCAGTCCAGGGTCCCAGTGTCTGGACCAGTACCTGCTCTTTCTGCCTCAGTACCATGGCCTTTCTGCCTCAAGATGGGTCAGTCATCTGTTAGGATTCCTCCTGCTTCCCCAGAAATAGAGTCTCAGGCCTAGGGGAAGGCCACAGAGAATTGGATTCCTTTCTCACTGACAATAACAATGCCTGGGCTGTCCCCTGGAGTGAGAACTGGATTTCCTGTTGGTGGAGTTCAGGAAGACTTAGAAGACTTGCTCAGTTCTTTCAATGAGCCACCTGCTTGCTAAATTCCAGGTCCGCCTGAACCTCCCTTCCCCAACCTCCTTAGTTTGGCTAACTCCCAATGGGTCTCAGCTTAAGGTCTCTTCCTCAGGGACTTGCTGGGCCCTCAGCCTCCATTAGGTCTCCCTGCTCTGTGCTCACCCGCAGAACCCTGGACTTCCCTTAGGATGGCCGTGGACCTTGGGATCGTTCCTGCTTATTGAATGCCTTTCTTTCCACTGGACTGTGATCTCTAGGAGGGGCAGTCACCATGGCTGCCTTTTCTTTGTATATTCGTTTTTAGCAATTATGTGCCCATTATCTCAGGCAGTGCTTAGTACACAGAAGGTGCTCAAAGTGCAGTTGTTGAATGACCTGTGATCCATAGCTAGAGGCAAGGCCTTCCAGTGAGTGACTTTCATCCAGGTCATCCAACAACTGTTTATCAAGGATCAGCACACACATAGGATATAAAGATGACTTGGAAAGGGGGACTTACAATCTAGCAGAGGAATTTATCATCTAGAACCCACTTAAAAAACTGCAAAAATCTCTTCTAACCAGAGAGCGTCCATTTCCTCCTAAGTCGCCTCTCCCTCTCTGCTGGCCCATTGATCCTTGGCTACTTGGGCTGGGGCTGAGAGTATGCTTCTGAGTTCCAGGACTCTCCATGGACACAGAACCATCTGGGGGCTGGTGTGGTGCTGTACAAAGTCTCCTGGCAGCAGCGGTTCCAGGGAGCTCATGCACAGGGCAGACGTGATCACTAGGGCTCACCAGCCTCTGGGCAGGGCAGGTCTCAGGCTATGGCTTCTCTGGACAGCTCTGTGGCACATGCCTGAGCTTTTAGCTGTTTTGGAGAATTCATTAAGAAAGCACCTTATTCTCAAATTCATCTGGGGAGAAACTTGGAAGGCAAAGGCTCACATTCATTTCAAGGGTTTGAAGTGATGTCTCAGAATCAGTTATCTCCAAAGTGTAAGGAGACGTGGGTCCAAAAACCTAGCCTACTGACCTTGGTTGTTCCTCCCAATTCCCCAGAACCTCCGTTTTGTCATCTGAAGAATGTTTTGTCATGAGGGACAGGAGATGCTACTATGTGACAATGTCAAGCACATCGAGGATGCTTTGGAAATATAGGATGAATCGGAAGGTAAGTGCTCACAAACTGATCACTTGGGGGCTTCACCCAGGAGGGAGGACATGATGGAAATGGCCTCCCCGGGGCCCTACAGTGGGCTTCACGCAGGTGCACGCTAGCTAAGACTGAGATTGAGTGAGAGGCAGCACTAGGACCCAGGGGAGGCGTCCGGAGCCGGCTCAGCCGGGTAATTTCTCAGCCAGAACACAATGTTCTCAGTGTACCCACAGGAAACCCTGAAGAGAACTGCACATGGCCTTCTGCTGGGTGTGTTCTGGTCCCAGGCTTTTATTCTTTTTCTTAACCTCAGTCCCCACTTTCACATCCTGTAACCTGCAGAGCTGCCTGCCCCACCCCCGCCGGGTGGGTCCCATGCCCCGGGGAGAGCAATCAATGCAGGAAGCCCAAGGCCTTGCTGGCCTTCACCATTTTCAAATAAGACCGTTTGCCTCTAACCTTGGCTTCCTGAATCGACTCTTTGTGATGGAAACTTTTCACAGTGTGGAGGCAGACTCAAGGGACAAAGCTGAGCCGCTAGCTGAGGCCAGGGTCTTGGCTCAGATGCAGGGAAACAGCTGATGCCTCTGAACCACCTCCTCCCTTCCTCCCTCAAGGCCAGACCCCACCTGGGACAGGGCAGGGCCTCCACTGCTGCTGCATAAATCAGAAGGAACTGGGAGCTGCCTGGGGAACCAGGGCCAAGTTTGGTGCAGAATATCCTATGATGTGGTTCCGAGTTTTTATTTCCACGAATGCTAGAATATGTTGTCCCATTGGGCTATTTTTATTGAATGAAAAAATTAAAAAAAAAAAGAAAAAAAAGAGCAAACCTCTGCAAAACCAACAACCCTCTATTACAGGGAAGAACAAGGTGAACTTTTCACTTCCTTCCCCACAGCCTATCAACTCATCTGTGGTTTGGTGTCACCCCCACTTCTGTGCTATATTCAATCTCAATTTTTGCCTCCTTGTTTTTGAAGCTGCAAGAGCCAGGCTCTTAAACCCGTGTTGTTCCTACAAGTTGCATGAGACTTTCGAAAGAGCCTTCTCAGTGAGTTCTCAAAACAGATTGCAAAATGGAGACCTACCAGGCTTTGGCCAGGTATGGAGGCCAGATGCCAGCCTCTAGGCAAAGGCGGGCCCAAAGGGAGTGAACAATGAGAGAGAGCATGTGAGAAGCCAACACCACTCAGCCGTATTCTGTCTAACTGAGCTGTTTGAGGGCTGCAAGTTAAGGAGCAAAGCTCTGGGTGACACACTGTGTATCTGCCTCTTTAACGAGGGGCCTGGCCATGGAAAATACACCCCAGTGCTTATGCTAAGCTCCATTAATTAGGCTCCTTCCACTCTGGCATTTCAGAGACTTTTTCCAAGTATTGGTTTGTAAGCGAGTTTTAGGCTGTCCTCCTCACCCCAGGCCTGTAGAGATTCTCAGGGTGCCTCTCAGACTTGTCCAGGCTCAGGGATTCCCTTCATGGAGGAGAAGCTTCCCAAAGTAGGCAATGCTGCTACTCCTGGGGACGTTAGCTCAAGGCTTGAGGGCCCCAAAAGACCTGGGTTCCAGTGTGTTTTCAATTTGCTGTGTGACCTCGCTTTCCCATCGAGGCTTCAATCTTCTCATTAATAAAAGGTTTGGTTAGACATTGCTATTATATCATGTCCCTTCTCAAAATGCGTATGTTGGTGTCCTAATTCCAGTATCTTAGAATGTGACCTTATTTGGAAATAGATCTTGACAGAGGTAATCACATTAATATGAGGTTAGCAGGGTGAGCCCTAATCCAATAAGATGGTGTCCTTATAAAAAGGGGAAATTTGGACACAGAAATGGAGAGAGAAGAGACGAATAAAGAGACACAGGGAGAAGATGGTCATCTATAAGCCAAGGAGACAGGCTGGGAACAGATCCTTCCCTCACAGCCTCCAGAAGGAACCAACCCTGCCGACATCTTGATTTTAGAGGATTTTTTTTTTTTTTACTTTTAGCTGAGCCATCCTGCCACCTGTTGGCAGCTCAGCAGCTGCTCAGCTCGGGCCAGGACTCGAACTGCTGTTGCTCAGAGCTCAAACTCTTG